GTCACTCGCGGTTCCTCGCGGAGCCGGACGAGCGGGGAACCCGGCAGGCTCGGTGCTGAGCACTGAGCAGCAAGTGTGTGAGCCGTAAAACTCCTCCCAGGCTTGGGAGCAGCCCTATGGAATCAGCCGTTGGGGGCCCATCTGGGCCGGTGTTTCTGCACCTTTCACCTTGCTGGTTCCTTATTTGGAGTCAGATTTTTGCAATTTCCTGACGTTTGCTGTAAAGTATTTGTAAAAGGGATCGGTGCTGACAGTGCAAACCCCGTAAATGGGTGGGGGATGCCAGGGAGCTGCCAGAGTGCTTGACCTGGAAGGGTTGGGAAGCGGCCTGTCCTTGCTGCTGGGCGCATTCTTGGCTCCCTTTGGGATGGCTGAGACTAGATCAGCAGTACTGTGACTGTGGGCCAGAAGCCCCCTGGGTTGTCTGCCCTGCCTGCATGCTGCCCACGCAGAACGCGGGCCCCCGGGACCGGGGATTGGGACTCCATGACTCTCCCATTTGCTGCGTCGTGCCGTTGCCCGGCTGGGCTCTTCCCCACTGAGTGCCTCTTGCCGCCGCAGGTTGGGCGGGCGCTGGCCATCGCGGCGCTGGACATGGCAGAATGTAACCCCTGGTCCCGGCTCATCATGTCTGAGCACAGCAGCCTCAGCAACCTGCGAGCCTGGATGCTGAAGCACGTGCGCAACCTGAAGGGCATGGCTGCATTCTCCCGCAAGAAAGGCTCCAAGTAAGGCCCTGCCTGCATCTCCCCAGGCAGAGCGGGGAGGGGCCCCTGGGATAGGGCTAGCGGTTCTGCTGAGTGCGTCAGCACAGCTCCCCAGGCAGAGCGGGGAGGGGACCCTGGGACAGGGCTAGCGGTTCTGCTGAGTGCGTCAGCACAGCTCCCCAGGGCCCGTGAAAGGCAGGGAGTAGGGCCGCATGGCTGGGGCTTGTGCCAATTCCAGCGTTGTGTCCATGGGGCAGACCCCGCCAGCAGGCTAGAGACTGCTCAGGACTGGGTACCCCTCGGAGTTAGTGCTGACATGGCGGAGAGAGGTGGGATGACTCTAAGCAGTGTGCAGAGGGGCTGTGCTACTGGAGGGCCCATCTTTCAGACCCGAGCAGCTTACTCCCAGGGCCCTTGTCAGGAGTGGGGCCCTTCCCTCAGCATCCGAGCCAAGCTCCGGGGGGAGTGAGACCATTCATTCCCTGCACCTTTCTTTGCTGCCTTCCCAATCCCAGCAGCACTACACTTCCGGAGCCCACCCCTGTCAAACCCTGGGCTGGGGCGTAGCACACTGTTCCAGAGGGAGAGCGGCTTCCTGCCAGTCAAGCGACCCGCCCCGCCCCACCCCACCCACTGGCAGATCTGTGAGATCACGGGGTGCCCTGCCCAGCTCAGAGCACTAGAAATGTGCACAGTGTTTTAGAAACAGGAAAGAAGATGAGTCCACTGCTCCTCGGGGAGCAGATGTGCCAGGAGCCCCCAGATGTGCACAGCACCAATTGCATGGGTACTTTGAGCTCTGCACTGCAGTAAGCTCGGGGCTTCAGAGGAGCCAGTGCTTGCTGTCCCTCCCGAAAACCCCTTTTTTAAAGCCCTCTGGAAGGGGAGCTGGTGTTTGCCGAGAAGTACGCACAGGCCGTTTGGAGAAGAGGCCTGAAATCGGGATGCCAGGAGAGAATGGCGTTTCAGCTTGGCCCTTCTCATGCTGCCAGTCGTGGGAGAGCAGATTGAGCGTGTCCTGCGCCAAGCTAGCGCAGCCGAGAGGGGTGGGTGAGGGCTTGGGAGCCAAACTCTCACTGCCGTTTTCCCTGTCCCTTCCAGCGGGCTGCCCGCCGGGAGCTCCGAGAATGCCCTCTCCCGGGCCAGGAGCTACAACCATGGCACCAGTGGGAGCCAGCAGAACTCGCCCCAGATCAAAGCCTCACCCAGCTTCACCTTCAGCTGTAACAGGGCTGGTGGCCCCGCAGGCGGGAGTCAGAGCCCTCAGAAAGGCAGCCCGAGGGTCCTGGCACCGGTGAGAGGTAAGCTGGGCAGGGTGCCCCTCCTAGCTTTCATTCAGTACCTGTGGAGCTGCTGTGTCAGGCGGCGCCCCTGAAGGAAAGCCCTGCGCCAGCCTGTGCTTTGCTTGAACTTAATAAAAGTGGTTTGCCGTGGAGCAGTAGCTGCTTGTGAGGTGCTGCCTCCTGTGTCTTGAGCAACGCTCGGGGTGGCCAAGTGCAGTACGGAGCCTTGAGACTCCAGAGTCCAGCTGCAGTGCTCCCCGCATTGCACACTGAGCCCTGCAGCTTCCCCCACCTTCAATCAGCTCCCAGCCGGGAGCGTGGGCTGCCCTCTGGCCCCTGCAGCGGGTGGCTGGACACAGCTTGGTCAGCGGCTGCTCCTGAAGACGTAGGGATCGGTGGCTGCTGCAGTGGTGGGCTAGCTACCCAGCTAAATGGAGCCTTTCTGTGGCAGTTATTGTATTGTCCAAATCCCACAGCCTGGTAAATCCGAGAGCAGGACCCTAAGCCACGCAAAGAGGCCACGTTTTAACTGGATGCTGTGATGGGAAGTCAGCTTCTAGAGAAGCTGGCAGGGGGAGTTCCAGCTCCGTTCCCCAGCCATTGCTGCTCTCCCAAGCATTCCCATGCCCGAGGGGCGCTCGGGCCGTCATACAAGTGCCTTCTTTGTTCCCAGGCTAAGGGCCGAGAAGCACTAGGAGTTGCAGTGTTTCCAGTGGTGTAGGGTGGATGACAGAGCCATGATATGTAACCAGGGGGTGAGCCCAAGCGATAGCCCACGCAGGTGCTCAGACTGGTTTACTGACCCCAAAACTAACAAGGCCCTTCCACAGACCTGCCTGGCTTGGGTGATTCTGGCCACTGGCCACCTAGAACCTTTCTGGACCACATCTTGGTCCTATGGTGCCCAGTCCAGCTATGGTGCCCTGACATGGAAAGCTACCCCTCCTAGCCAAAGCCCTAGCTGTGCACAGCACTCACTTCTCTGGCTTTGTCTCCCCTGCTGCATACACTTCAGATGGGTTTAGAGCCACTGGCAGGCTGCTTGCCTGGCCACGGACTGGAGACCACTAGGAAACCCGAGGGGGGGTGCAGCTGCTGGCTGGCCGAGGGCATTCAGGACATGATCAGCCGGTATGCTGTAATTCCCCAGCCAGCTCCACTAGGTGCGCCTGCTGCTCTGCGCTGGTCCCAGTGGCTAGCAGCCAAGTGCAGGGCTTGGATCGGAATCTCTGCCCTGACGCATGTCCCAAAGCCCAGGGTGTCTAAGCTTGCCATGTCCTGCTGGGGCTGCAGTGTTCTCAGGGGCCAGGCGTTGTCCATGGGACTCCACGGCTCGGGTAAGGGCTCATGGTACCAGATGCTGTTCTCCCGGAAGAGATTGCTGAATTCCCGACTGGCTTTGCTTCCTGCGCACTGCCTTCGTTTCACATGTAGCTTCGCCCTGTGCATCTGCTTTCCAGCTTTGGCAGCCTCCATGGGAACCCCATGGGGAACAAATAAAAGGCTTGTCTCTCCATGGGCATGTTGTAATGTCTGTTTCTTCAGCTTTGCTTGTTTTGTCTGCCTCTGTCGGCAAAGCAACCCGCTGGCCTGAGGCTGCATGGCTCGAGTGAAACCAGGTCCTGTGCGGGCTGGGAACTGTCCTGGGACATCCCCGAGGCCAGATGAGTGAGAGACTGGGGTTCTGGGGGAGTGAAGCTTAGGTAATACCCCAAGAATCCGTTCCCTGCTTATGCTTTGTGCACATCCTGGGCCTCGGAGTAGTGCGGGGTGGCCGGATTGCTGCCTGAGTGGTTCGCTATGGCTGTGGCTGCACTGGCAGTTCATGGGAAGCCCTCCCAACTTTACCAGTGATTGCAGGGTTGGGAATGGAAGTGCAGACAGGGCTTGGTGCAGGTGTAGTCCCCCCAGGAGCGGGGACGCCAGAGGCCTTCCCACACTAGCACTCCACAGTGCTAGAGCAATAGTGGGCGATTGCCCAGAGCTTGCTGTGGACGGAAGTGGGGCCAGGAGACTCATGACTTGCTAGTCTTTGCTCTAGAACTAGGGCCTGAAAGTACTACAAGTCCCAGCCTGCATCAGTGGGGATGAGTGGGGCACCAGGCTCCTTTGCAATGTAGGTCCTGTCTTTCTTACTCACCTTTCAAGCAAACCAACAGTCCTCACACTTCCGTAGTGTCCAGCCCCTCCTGGCATCTGGAAGCAGGGTCAGTTTTGTGGTGGGCTGGTGAGAAGGGAAACACTCCAGGAGAAACTGGGAAAGGAGGATGCTCCTGCTGGCTCGGTAACAATCACCCCTCCCCTATGCTGTCATGCTCCTGGGGCTCTGTGACCCTAGGCTCCCCTTGCTGTGCCCTGGAGAGCATTTTACATAGAACCGACAGCAAACCCTGTCTGAAGGCTGGCTGCACTGAGCATACTGCTCTGAGCCCGGGAACCAGGCGTCCTGTGCTGGCTTGCGGCTCTCCGCCTGCGTGTATTGGCCTCTCGGGGAGTAACGTTCTGCTTTTGTGTTTGCCTGGCAGAGCCGTGCTTTCCCTGCCTCCCGAGCTTTCAGAGCTGTCTGCATTGAGTGAGGCGGGCAGGGGAGGGGCCGGAGCAAGTGGAGCGCAGGAGTTGGCCCGAGGCTCGGTCCTCGAGCGCAGAGGAGCAGAGTACTCCGACTTGATAAGATGCATTCCTCCCTCCCAGTGATTCCCGGCCATGGATGCTAACAGAGGGCGGGTTAGCCCCGGGTACAGACTGGGGAGCGGTGTCCAGCGTGCTGGCTGCTATGGTGCCTCAGGGTGTGGTGTTAGACAAGCCAGGGCTGGCGACACCAGTGCCCACCTCTGCTGCTCCGCTGGCACTGAGCCAGAGGGACTTGCCCCTATCAAGGCTGCCAGAGCCAAGAAGGGACTTGCTCTGGGGACTTGGGCTAGTGGTTAGTAGGAAGAGCCTGTGCCGTGCTGTGAGCACACAGCAATCCCTCCCCTCCCTAGCCCTGGGAGCGCTGGGCATGCTGGCAACAGGGCAGCTCTGGTAACAGCCAGGTGAGGCCGAGCTAACCCAAGCAAGGGCTGTGTCCCCTTCTCCCTGACTTGGGGCAGGCTGGCTCCTGGACAGGTCCAGGGTCCTCATCGGCACATAGCTCGGCTTGAGTGCTGGGGTCACTCCCCTGTGCATGTGTGGGGTTGGTGGTGGCACCAGTGAATCCCGCACCAGTCAGGAGTGTCCACCGCTCCCTCGCCTGCTCTCTCAGCCTGTGTGAAATTGGGGGGTGAGGGGTGTTAATTTTTAAACAATGTCCCAGAAGCCCCATCACCCTCATGAGCAGCACCCCCCACAGGCAGGGTCTGCGCTGCTCCTGCTGCTAGACGTGACGTTGGCAGGGCGGCATTGAGACACCTGGGACATGGACGCTTGCCTTGCTGCTACCCAGGCACTTGGGGCCAGGAGTCCAGCCCCAGGTTCTGTCTAGCACCTTTCCAGCTCCTATGCCATGCAGTGCCATGCTGCGCCACGCCGCCACCATCTCTTGCTCTGCTGTGGTCTTCCTTCCTTTCACATCTGCGATGTCCTATTGGTCTCCTCCCACAGGTGTCCCCACAGCCTATCACCTGCCGCCCTTGGCCTGGAACACCTTCTAATGCCTGGTCTACACTAGGACTTTAATTCGGATTTAGCAGCGTTAATCCGAATTAACCCTTCACCCGTCCACACTACAGAGCCAGTTAATTCGAATTAAAGGGCCCTTTAAATCGATTTCTGTACTCCACCTCGACGAACGGAGTAGAGCCTAAATCGATTTTGTTAATTCGAATTAGGGTTAGTGTGGACGCACACCACCGAATTACTGTGTTTAAGTTAATGGGGTAGTGTGGCCGCACACCACCGAATTAATGTGGTTTAAAACCGAATTAAGGTGCTTAGTGTGGCCGCGCACAATCGAATTTATACAACCTGTTTCCCAAATTCGAATTATCTAAATTCGGATTAATCCTGTAGTGTAGACATACCCTAAGGGGAACTGCTCCAAGGAGCCCACCCCCCCCCGCAGCAGGCGTGTGTGCGCTTACAATCAAAGCCAGCGCCATCTCAGAGGCCACCGAGTGGAACCACCTGATCCTGGCTGGACCCCTGGCCTTTCTCCACACGCCCCGTTTGGAGGCTCTTGGCCGCAGGATCCTGTGTTCTACAGAGCACCTAGCACAATGAGAAATGACGAAACAAGTCACTGAGCTCAGAGGGCTTTCCCAGCGCCAGCCCTGCGTGTGGGCGCCAGTGCTTGGCAAACCCAGAAGCGATGGGTTCATTCTGCTCACTGAGCTGCATCCGTGGCAGCAAGAGTTGGTTTATACACCACCCCAGAGCTGGCTGGGTGCTGCGTGGACGCGCACATGCCGTCCCTGCCCCGAAGGGCTGGTAACTTCACTGGGCAGCATACCAAGCCCAAGGACGGGGGATTGGGCACAAGAGCCCCTGGTTTCCAATGCGAGTCTCCTTCCTTGGCTGCTTTGCCCGTGTATCTGTATTTACACCGTGCAACGACTGTTCTTCCAGTAACGTCCCTAGGGGTGCTCCACATCGGGTGCGCCCCCGGGCGCCTTCGACCAGAGACGTTTGGCAGCAGTGCCCTTTGGTCCACACCTGCACCCTCGCTATCCTCAGGCCTCGGACTCAGGGTGGATGGGGCAGTGACGGAGGAACCACCCTCAGCTCCTTCTCAGCCAGCACCTCAGCCTGAGAGACAGCAGCTTGAGGGGCCCACTTTGTAGCTAGTTTTCCCTTCGGGAACAGCTTCTCGTTTAGCGTTTCTTGTTTCTGGTTGTAATTAGTGCTTTTAACTTTTGCTAGTTAGAGTAGTTTTTAGTAACGTTTGTTGGGGGGGGACTTGTCCCCCCTCACCCCATCGGGGCCTTTCCCGCCTTTGAAGGAGTCTGTCTCCTCATGGCTAAATGCCCTGGATTTAAACGTTGCCTCAGATGGTGGGATTCACTCTCTGTATCTGCTGCTTAGGACACACTTGTGTCCTAGCT